ATTTAATTATATTATATTAATATTATTATAACACATACACTGTACAGCAAGTTACTTATTTCAAAGAATTAACACAGTTATTTAAACACTCTTCTATCACTCACCATAGTTTTCAAAATATTCCTTTGGACCTTCTAAGTTGTCTCTGATAGATTTTTTCAGTGTAGATGTGGCCCATACTATGACATGATTAGGAAGCTCAGTGTCCAGAGTTGTAGTGCCTCCCATTAGCCAAGAATGTACCGTCTGGATGTTCTAATAGAAGTGCAAGTTCTGATTATTTACATTTTAAAAACAAATGCAGGGATACATACATTGTAAAAGTTGCGACCTGCAGAAGACACTGTATCAGAAAAGTATGAGACCATAATCACGACCAAGGCCACATGCTTCATATACACCTAGAACGGCTCTTCCTGATTCAGAAAGTTTAACAGGAAACATGTAAGATGGACAAAAAATAATTATCCAATCTTACCTAAAATTAAACTCTATCCTATGTACAAGCACACAAAACTAAACCCAAAACACTTCTCTGAAAGTATCATCATGTATGATTAAAGGCCAATACTAAGTCTACAGAGATACATCCAAAGCCCCCAGAAAGGCTGTCTTCCTGGAAGTCACAGGTTGGTTCCTAAGGCATAAATCTTTAGATATTGTATACATTAGTTGTCAGGGATTTGAGGCTTTTCTTTTTCTTAGAAAGAAAAGGAATATCAACTCTAATTTTCCTGGGGATCTTAATTATTAATGCAAGTTTATTGCAAATCATCACATATATAACTAAGGTGCTAATTGTATTTCTATGCAAAATGTTAGTCCACAGAAAGTATACACTGCAAAACTACTTGATTTTTAATGTTAGAAATAAATACATAAATAAATTAGAATATGTGGTTACTTATACTTAAAGCACTCTAGGTTTTCTAAACATACCAAAAAAGAAAACAAAAACTTTATCTTTTAGCTAGTTTTCTTTCCTGGGTAAGTTTTCAGCCTGACTTCTTTTTAATGAACAAGCAGACAATTAATTTGTAGACATACACACAGATTTGCAGATTAAAACAGAAGACTAAAACAATCAGTAGCAGGAACACTATGTTTGGGTTTTTTTTTTTTTTAAATGAACAAAGAATAATGAAATGAGTTTCAGAGCCTCAGAGCCTGGAGTTCTGCTGGGCATCAAGATTCATGATGTGACCTTCAGAATGCTCATGGAAAATAAATACCTCAGGTGCATTCTGCTTCCCATTACTAAGGTAGTCAGAGTCCTAAACTACTAGTATTTTCACATCCAAAGCAACTTAGCAGTTACATATTTAAATAAAGATAAAAGCACACCTGGAGAGTCTGTCCTATACGATTTACTATAAACAGAATTGCTTCTTCTAGGTCTTGGAAGCTTGGATAAAACTCCATTTTCTTTTCATCAAGAGTCAATTCCATCTTGAATAAAGGTAGACAATTTCTGTCTTCAGGATCAAAAAGTTTCACAAAAGCTTCAACCGTTCTTCTCAAGAATTCTTTCAGCTAGGTAATAACATATATCACCTATTAGTTGAAAGAACAGAAAGCCCCATCCCACTGTCCCTTCATTCAGTAAGCCAGGATTTCCATTCATTTTCGTACTTGTGGCCTGATTCATGGATAACTGAAGTAGTGTGATTTTTTCTAATTACATCAGTGAGCATTAGTCCCAACCCTTAAAGGATGTAAATTAATGAACAAGTAAGCAAACACTTCAGTAAAGCCTATGCATTTATTTTTGCTACAAAAGTAAGTCTATTGCTAATACATGCTTTAAGTATAAATTAAATATCTGGAATGCATTTTCCTCTGACTTTTTTTTTTTTTAATATGACAATGATTTGATTAGACTGTTGTTCCATTATTTTTCTGCAAGTAAATAAAGGTTTAATCTTAAAAATTACTGACTTCTCAAACTGCTGAACATATATATCCCCATTGATTATTATATTCTTAAATAGAACAATGTAAACAACAGATGCTTTAAGTTAACTGGAAGTTAAAGGATTTTTAATTTTCAGTAAACTAAGAACTTCGAAAAACAATTGTCTCAGTCTGAAATCAGTGATTTCATTTGAATGGTCTTGTTTTATTATTATTAGGAAATACAACACTTGGACATTCCTAAAACAAAACAAAACAAAAAAATTAACTGAGAAACACTTCATATAACTTCCATCTTGACATAAATAATCAGGGAGAAAAAAAATTAACTTGCAAAGCATTGTGGCATCATTTTCCACAGAAAAAAAAATGTATTTGGAAATTTTGCAGAACTATAGCCATTTTCATACACGTTGGCAGAGTTGGACTTTCAGTCTGTTTGTGTAGGTATGTTTGCTTTCAAGGGAGAGAGATCAGGTTTTGTTCATTTTGCTAATAAATGACGTGTAATTGTAGTGCCAAGATCGGTGATAGGAAGGGTCCTGAGAACACTGAGATATTTCCTTCTTTAAGCTAATTACATTCTAGTTGGTAGAATAAATAAATTTTCTGCATCTAAAAATCTAGAAAAAAAGAAGTAGGCAAGATCAGGTATTTTAAATGAGGGAAGTTAAGCTTGTTTAACACTTTGAATACTTACTGGATTATATGCAACAAATGGCTAACTGATTAATTAAACAGGCCACATATCATGCAATGTGCTGACTCATTAAAATTACCTAAATTTCACATTAAGCTTATCACGGAGAGGAAAGACTTTTACCTGATTAGACATAAGTGTAGCCACGCAGTTATAAAAAGAGTCAATCCGATCCAAATTTACACCATTCAGTGACTCCTTCTGTGTAAAGAGACCGATAATTCTTTGATACCACGTATTCAGTATCTTCTCTTCTGCTTTAGAACAGCTTAGAGAGACATCAGTCTTTAAAGATTCACAGTCAATTGGCCCTTTCAATCTAGAAAAGAAAGTTACAGGCAACTTTATTAAAAAAAAAAAAAAAAGTAGTAGAGTAACAGTAATCTATACGGTATTACAAACCCATTCTTTTTTAGCAGAAAGCACAGTGGGAACCTAAGCATCACTTCTGTAGACTTAAATGAGGGAAAAAATACCCCAAATCCCAAGAAATAAAGAACAGTTACAAGAAAAAATAATGCGGAAGAAGATACTGAAAATTATCTTTTTGAAAATTATGAAAATGAAAAGTTCCAAGATTAAAAATAAAATTAAAAAGAAATCTGGTCTTTAGGGCTAGCGTATAATTCCCTACAGACAGTAATACTACTAGAAGTCAAATTTTCAAATGCTACTTCAACCAGACTTCTATGGGGATCATGGCATTAAGATTAAATAAATAATGAGGAGACCTTTACAGAATTAAAGGCAAAACATAAATCAAAAGGGATGATACTACCAGCAATTTAAGCACCAATAAAATATTTATACGTAACAGAGAGAAGAAAAGTTAAATGTGTCATAACACAAAGTAACCTACTCAAAGAACATTAAATGACACATTGAAGAAATTCATTATATAAAAACCCTTATGATAAGTAACCAAATTGAACACACTCTTCTTTATCAGCTTCAAAAACCTATATGGGTTAATAATTCACCAAAACAGACTTTACCTGAAATTTGAGAAATCCACTATAAGAAAGGTAGAGAATGCTGCATAACCAAAATCCAGCAGAGTTTTCATTGTGGGGTGGAGAATGTGCAAGTTGGAAAGGATTTGATTTTTTGCTTGGATAAAACTGTTATGCCATGGTCTAGAAAAATCCAGGCCTCTGGGGAAACAACAACAAAAAAAACCCAACCAAAACAAACAAACAAACAAAAAAAAAGAGCTCAAGCAATACTTGAATAAAAAATTCTTACATTCAAAAAGTAGTATTAAAAAGCTTATTCCCTAACAGGAATAGTTATTTAAATGCCATACACATATCCTCAATATGGTGCAGTGGAAGCCATAAAGATACTCTGTTTGATCAACCATGTTTTATACTCCAGAGTATTTTCAGATCGCCTGTTCTTCCTGAAGCTCTTTCAATGTAAACTTCTAACTTCACCAACTGCTAACAGGAAGTATTTATCATCAATATTTAGATGGCACATGTCCTGATGCTTCAGCAAATTGTGCAGTTCAGACAATTATATTCTGTCTACCTGAATTCCTCTTCTATTTTGGCAGAGCATAATAGCCTTTCCTTTGGTCTCAAGGTTTCGCCTCGTGACACCAAAGTCATAGGAAACCTTGGCATTAGATGCAGTTTTAGCACGTTAAAGCATTGTGCAATGCTGCTGCCAGTAAACTGCCCCATGCATATGCACTTCGTTCCAGAGGTGGCTGCAATATGACTTTAGTGTCTGGACACTCAGAGCCAGAAGTCTGATTTACGGTCATTAGTGCTACTCCATGTAACTGTAACAACAGTAATAAAACACTGCCAGTGCTAAAACTTTGTAAAGCATTCAGATGTAAGATGTTTAAATGTAAGATCCTCTACAGACAGAAAAAAAAGTCTCATTAAGGGACTCCAGGATTAATATTGTGCCATAACTCTGTTCATGCAGCTCAACGAGAATTTCACTCGCAACTGAGTGTGTTTTGCTAGTGGGTTATTTGCTAACTTAAACCACTCACAGAGGTGATAAAGGCAAAGGCGCCTCCTCTTCATCTTCAAGTCCTTTTACATCTGGTTTAATAAGAACATTTCGCACTAGGAAAAAAAATATATATGAACGTTACAAGAAAATTAAGCCACGTTCAACAGGCACTGTACTTCCTCAGTCTTCCTCCAGGTTGAACCAAGCACATAGGAGGATGGAAAGGTAACTGTATCATCCAAGTCTTCAAAACACATTCTCCTTAAGGTAACTCAAAATCACAGCTTCTGCTAAATATCTATACAGATTCAGGTGGCTTAATTCCAATTCTGTCCCCTACTCATGACGGTTTTCAGATAGACTAGTGTTTAAATAGTTAAGTACTTTCTTAACTGAGAGGATGGTCAGTCACTCGAACAGGCTCCCCAGGGAAGTGGTCACAGCACCAAGCCCGTAAGAGTAAAAGGAGCGTCTGGACGATGCTCTTAGTCATATGGTTTAGTTTTAGGTAGTCCTGTGAGGAGTAGGGAGTTGGACTCGATGATCCTTACGGCTCCCTTCCAACTTGAGATATTCTATGATTCTAAGTATTTATGGCAATCTTGTTTAATATAATTCTAGTGTAATAATGTAATTATCCTACTGATGACATTACAAAGAAGTTAGTCCCATGTTAAATTGTGTATTTTTTATCTGAATTTTTAAAAAGGTCAGCTATCCACCAAAATACTGACAAAATTTGGCTCAATTTCAGATTTCAGATACTGTAAATGTCAATAAAAAAGACATTAATACATAATTTCAAGGGAATACACTTTCAAAATTCCAGTTCATTACTCTTTTAAAGAAGTTTAAAAATCAGAGTGAGTTGTATGAGTGATATCTGAAAACCGCTAATTATCTTTGCAGATTTTTATTGCGAGCTTCCTCATGCATAGAAAGCAGCATCAAAAAACTTATGGATGTGCTTGTGGATGCAGAGATGAAAAAAAGCTGCTGTTCCTGAAGAGGCAAAAAAAAGAATTACCAGTACATAAAAAGTTTCTACTTTCTTTAGTAGAAACCAGCAATACATTCTTGCATGACATTAACTAATCAGGTTAAAGACTTCATGAAATAAGGTCATCAGCAATCAACCTTTTTCTCATGAAGTCTACAGCTCCTTTGTCTTTGCTTGAACTATACCTTTGGCTGGTTAACTTTTTACTAGTCCAAATAAAATCAGCAAGTTTTGCCTTTAAACACTATGACCAATACACATTTGATGAGGCAGAAGAAGAGAAATCAGTGGTTAATTATAAAGATCGTGCCTGGCTGAAAGAACAATACACAAAAATTATTTTCAGTGGGAGAACATGGAACAGCTTATAATATATACACACACACACATTGATATATTAATATTAGTACTGTCTAGTTTCTGGTACTTACCCACACATCTTCTCATGCTCATTTCATAATCCCTTATTATCTCCCCTAAAAGCTTTTCAGCTAACAGCTCTCTGTCTTTGCCTTCCATAAGCGACTGTGGCACCAATGTGAGCATGGACATTAGCCACTGCTGCTGAATGGGAACCACCGGATTACTTTGCACACACTTCTTCATAAAGAGGTAGTTTGTCTGAAAGGACAATATTATCAGAAGTCTAGTAATTGGCTCTGTAAATACTTTTGCATTAGGCTTGACAATAAAGTCTCTTTTTATTCACCATTTCTTATACTTAAGGGCAGGCAACATAATCTAATCTTTTCAGTATTCACTGACTAGTACACTAAAAGCTACCCTACGGTTGGTAAAATGGTCTCCCTGTTGCAATGCTTAAATACAAAATATTGTACTCTCTAGCGTGGCATTTTCCTTGGTTCTCTGCTGAAGTTTATGACTGACAATAAAACAGTTCAAGGTTCCTGTTACTGTTCTTTGGACAAACATTTACCTGGCAAAAAGTGTGTACAAATGGGGGGGGCTGGCCAAAGAAATAGGTATTTATACTTTTGAGTGATAGCTTTGTTATAAAACAAAAAGGGATCGGAATTTCTATAGTCTTCAGAATGAGTTTACCTAACATTGGCTAGGAAAAATAGATGTTCCCTTAAGCTTCAATATATTTCAATGCTAATTTGAGTTTAAAGTGGCTCTCAGAGATAAAGTTTTATTTTAAAAGCTGTACACAAATTTCAGGATTTGTACATGTTCTTCAAATCAGGTGAATTATGTCAAAGACTACTTTTTGTACAGGCTAAAGTACGATCTATGACCTCAACTGAAAAAATCCTGAAGTCTGTTAGAATTTTTTCTAATTAATGATCTTTAGGATTTAGATCAAAACTTAAATTACTGATGGACATACTTTCTGTAACAGAAAAAGACTTTCCTTCTATTGGACCACAAGAAAAGATTCCTATCTTGCTTCCTATTCCATTTTTCCCCAACAAGACTACTGAAAAAACTTTTCCTGCTTAACCACCATTAATTCCACATAACATACTCAACCCCTCTGAATAGAGACCATTCACTCTTCTACTCTAAAAAAGCAGAATAATTTAACTCACTCTTCGTTGTTTTTGCTCACTGTTCATCTGTATAAAAAAAGAGAAAATCATAATGTATTAAGAACACATAAACAAAAAAAAATCAGAAATATAATATTTAACAAATACTATTCCTAAATAAAGACTTTATTCTGTAGATATAACAGTATCAATTTCAATGGGACTACTTGAGCATATAAATACGTTTATTACTTACTAAGGATTGAGATAAGTATCTTTAAGTACATACTAAGAAGTAAGAGGCATAAATGCCCCAATAACAAAGAACAAAACAGGCAACAGTTAACACATTAAAGAAATATTTTCTCACAGTGGAAGGCAGTTCCGGAATAGGAGGTACAGGATCTCTGTGATATTTTTCTTCCATGCATACATGATACACTTTCAAAGCTCGATCAATTCTAAAGTAAAACATAGAGTCAGAAGTGCAGAACAACTACAAATGATATATTAAAAATAATGCTATCATTTTAATTGATGCAACCTGTTTTTTAATGTTTACCAACTCTTTGATCACTAAAAGGTAAGGCTGCCTTCGCATACTCTGTCTTCTCTTATATAAAGAGCCACATACATGTTGACCACAATCACAACATATACATGCCTCGATTCACCTCATCCAATTGCCCAGTACTCCTGTTAGGACTATATCTTACTTCTCCTCAAACAACTACAACAGATGTTGTCCAACTGTATTATGAAAAAAAAAAAAAAAAAGAAAAAAAAAAAGAAAAAAGTGCAGAACAAACTCCTAAAGCTGTTTATTTTAAGATCAGCTCTTTTTTACTGCCTCTGGTTATAAATTGCTAAATAACTATCAGAAAACGATGGTTAATGTTGGCATGTCCTGCTGACCTTACACATTAAAATATTTCAGTCCATCCTTTTGGGGTACACTCTGTACATATCTTGCAAAGAGTATTTCAGCCTTATCTCAGTATAACTCAGCTAAAAACTCTCAGGTGGAAGTTAGACTGCCAATTTCAAGTACACACTCAAATAATTACTTCATGGGACCTTATTTAAAAAACAGTTCACTTTTTGTACAAAAACGGAACTGAATCAATGTTCCAGCAGAATATTCACTGTTTGTCAGCTGGCTGGTCAGCAGTCATCTTACCGCATGGTAAGTTATCGCTACAACATAGTTGACATTTTCAGCATACTGAACACCTGCATTCTAAAAACTGCACTCTGCTACTGCAGGTATCATTGAAAGGTCAGGATTTACTTTCAAAGAGCTAAAATTAAAAGACTTCTTTTTGTTAGATTTGTATTGTAACAGTCTTTAAACTATTAAAAGAAAGGAAACGTCTTTCTCTACTTTTAACTTCTATACAGATTAGCTGCTTTCTGTAACTGGTTGTTGCTACCATTATTTAAAAAAAAAAAAAAGGAAAAAAAGGCAACACACCCCCCCTTAACTTTGGCACAAATCAGATTCCCTTCTGTGATCAATTCTTCTCAGATTTTGATCCTGTAACTTAGTTTTATACCACTGCCTAGCTCCAATGAAGCGAACAATTTTGGGACACATACAAGCATCTTTTGAGAAAAAACAACTTGTAATACTTGGCCACAAAAATTTAGCCAGTATCAAAATAAGAAAATAAAAAGAACCTAATTTTCTATTAGACCTACAACAATTACATGAAAGCAGCCTTTTCCTATTGTCTTTCCTCCTTTGCAAATGAAAATCTTGAACGACAATTTTATGTGAATTTACCAATCATCTTGGCAGCTGTGCTCCTCTGGCAGTGACACAGATCACTAAGCTCAGCGTAGCAAATGCATTAAGATAGTGACAAAGCAGCCTGTTAGTAGACCTACGTTTGGATCATTCATACAAAGGCAAACAAGTAATCCAGACTTTTATTCTCTTTGGAAAAGGTTTTCATAAAGAGAAAGAATTTCTTTCAGTCTATCATAAACAACATTCAAAATGTGAAAGTCACTTTCTCCTCTCAAATCACCCCAACAAACATACCTCAGGCAGGTTTTGGGTGCTGTAAAAGAAAAAAACATCAGAGATTCCATCAAATATTCTATTATTAATAATTTTAGATGGAAATAATTCAGCACTGCAATAGTGACATCAGAAAGCTCTAAAATTAACAAACGCTATTATTATTTCTCAGATGTTGAATGTGCAATGTTTCTTTCATTTAAATGTCAACATTTCTTGAATTACATGAAACTCACAGTAACTGATTAAGCATCTTTTGCTGTTCGTTGCATCTTCGGTATGTCAATAGTTTATTCTTTAACGGTGACATATCAGATACGACTGACGAAGGTAAAACAGTGGGCAGAAATGAAGTTCTCAAAGTCTTTTTATTGGGAGGCGCTCCATCTGAGTGTGGCATCTAAAACCATAACAAAACCAAGATTCTAGAATACAATTAATCCTGCCCAGAAAGCAGTTTAACAGATGCATGTATTAAGTTGAATGTACATAAGATGTAAAATGAGGTAGCCTCAGGGATTTCCACAATCTGGGTATGAAAGTTTAGCTTTCAGAAAACAGAAGAATACTGTATATGCTAAAATGTCAAAGTTCAATGGAAAGTGCGTACATACAAAGTCTGCTTTAGTAAAGTAAAAACTATGGTACAGTTCTATAAACTCAAGATTAGCACACAGCATGAAAGTGAAGTTCTATTACAAATCTCTTTAACTGCTAATCTACCAGCTGTACACAACACGGAACACTCCAGAAAGGCAGCCTATTAACCCCCTCAGCAGACTGCACCAGACTGGCCCTGATGTAGCCACATTTCCTGTACTGATGGGGCCTGAGACAGTGTTGCTGTTCCTGTGGCTTCAGTAGGTGACTACCTATACCTTTCTTGCCTGGTCACTAAAAAAAAATTACTGCCTCATTAAGTCTACCCATGCTAGGTAACGTGGAACAAATTTGGACAAGGGTGGCCTCTCAAGTTCTGAGGAAAAAGAAATGCCCAAAAGCATCCCTGGTATTTGGTATTACTGTAAAGATAAAGCTGCAGCAAGTTTTCAAATACAAGATCCTAGAATTCTGCTAAAGTGAGAGGCAGTCTTAAAGGAAAAGAAACTAAATCATAATGACATCAACAGACTTATAGCTTCACCACAACATCAAATAAATGGGAGCAAAATTATGAGAAAGTTATTCTTTAGACACTATACTACTGTTAAAGAGAGATGGGAAAACGTGCAGGAAACTATCAAGAATGCATTTCTATAAAAACAGCACCCTTTTCTTCTTTTCATGTTTCTCAAGGAAAAAAAGAATTAAGCATATTTTCTATGTGCAAAGTAGTTATTAGAAGTTCTACTCTGTACATGGAAAGGTTAAGAAACTGCATGATCACCTTGTAAAAAGCAGTGTAAAATTGGAGACTATTCAGAAATAATTTTGCAATGCTGAAAGTCTTGTGGTGAATTTAGCAGGCTGCTTGAGAACTCTATCTTGCATATAAACGTATATTCCATCAATAGACCCTAGTGATAGTGTTTTATGTATTTACCTAAGGCAGAGCAGGGCACAATTTCATTTCAACTGCCTGTCTGGAAATGTTTATCTGAGCTACCGCAAGAAGTGCCTCTGTAAATACCAAGCAGGTGCTTGACAGTACTTTACTCTTTTAAGCTGCAGCAACTCTGGGTTATCTAGATAATATTCATTTACAGTATGCCAAGGTGTGCATCTTCAGAAGCAAGGCTAAGTTGAGCAAAGACTAAACTGAGATTACTAAAACGAAAGAAGCAAGCAAGGTGTTAATGTGGCTGAGGGCATTTGGCTAAATCCTGGCCTGTGGATGCAGATTACCAATGAAAAGAAGGTTTGTAATTTGGGGGGGTGGGTATGGGATTCAGGCTAAGCAGATGGGAGTTTTGGTTGTGACCACAGTTGTGGGTAGCTGGGCTGTGCAACAGGGAAGTGGAGACAGGTATGGGTTTGAAATAGGAATCCTAGTTTGGGCGCAGGATGAAAATGTGCAGCAGATAATTGGGTAACCATGGTTAAACATACTTGGCAACCAAAGTTTGATAATCACCTCGCGTAAAGACAGAGGAATAGGAGAAAAGAAGGAAAAGAAAGGAAAAAAGCCTGCTGTGTGACTGGGCTCAGGTTCACTAAAAGACTCTCCTTCCATAGTGGCTGAAGTCTGGCCTGTGGCTGAGTATGGCTATCCCAAAAGACTCACGGCAGGGTTCCCGGGGAAACAGGATGCCCAAAGTCACAACTGCGTTCCAACAGGTTCTCACAGGGGAGCAGAAAGCCAAAGCTACCTCCCAAATTAGCGCTACGTCCTAGAATTGAATTAAAACGGGTGGTGGTGGAGGCATCGAAAGCAAGCAAGCCCAGCTAAAGAGAGCCGAGACGGTACTACGTTTTCCTGGCGCTCCCTCAGCCCCGCAGGGCCCGGGGCCACAGCCCTGTCGGTGCGGAGGGAAGGGCAGCATCAGGCCCTGCGGCC